GGAGGGGGCATGGAGGAAGCAGGACAGAGGCGGAACGAGGGGCAGCGGGGGGGAGTGGGGGAGTGGGAGAAGGAGGAGGAGGAGGAGGAGGAGGAGGAGGAGGAGGAGGAGGAGGAGGTGGATGGGCAGGGTCCGCTAGAGGGGGAGGGGGGGGACGGAGAGGGGGGAGGAGGGCCGATCGCCCGGCGCGTCCAGGACCCGCTCAACAGCGCTCAGCTCCCCCGGAACGACCAGATGACGCCAACGACGCTGAAGGAGCACCGACCAGCGGGCGCACGCGCGCGCGCGAGCGCGCAAGTGCTCGTCGTCGTCGTCGTCGTCGGTCGTCGTCGGTCGTCGTCGTCGTCGTCGTCGTCGTCGTCGTCGTCGTCGTCGCTCGTCGTCGTCGTGGTCGTTAATTGTTGACGTGGTCGTCGTTGTGGTCGTCGTCGTCGTCATTTTCATGGTCGCCGTTGTCGTTAGCTTGTTCTCGTCGTTGTCGTCGCCGTCGTCGTGCCCTCCTCTTCCTTTTCTGACGCGGGTTCCTCGAAGGTTGTCTTGCAGGTTCTTGGAAGGTTCTGGACGCTGTTGGACGTCTTCGAAGGGGTTCGGGGCAAATGTTCTCGGAGGGCTCTCGGAACGTGTTTGGGGGATTTGAAAGCTCTCGGAGGTCTCAGGGAGTCCTTCACCTCCTTTTAGGAGATGTCGGAAGCGTTCGGAGATGTTCGGATATTAGCCATTGCATGTAGCGAAGCATGTGCAGCAACGTTGAGAGGCTGTAGTTGTGTTGGCTCAAGCTCCCAGTGTCTGCCATCTCCAGGACACCATCTGGTACGAAAGTCTCAGACATTCTACTGTGATTGGGCCCCTCTATTACCTACACAGCTTTTTTGGCAGCGGCCTGCCCCGCTGCTCTTCCGCGCCCCGACCTCATGTGCCTGGAGATCCCGGGCTGCCCCGCCGTGACCGGTGGGGCTTGCAGCTGCCCGCTGGGTCCGTCGGTGCCCCAGATCGCGTGCACGGGCGCGTTCGTGGCGTTGGGCTTCCTGATCTTCGGCCGAAAATGTCCATATCCACCGCCTGCCGAGGTCCCCGAAAATTGATCCTCCAGGCGGTGGTCATGTATAAATTCCCGCCTCGGACAGAGGCCCCTCCAAGGCCGCAACCGAATAACGGGGCGACCTCGCCGGCTGAGCTTCCCCTGCCTCATCGCGGGAAGCGCACCGCCAGCAGAAGCCCGGCCTGCAAGGAACCCAGCGGCGCCACCCGCCGCCAGGCCCCCGGGGGCCAAAATATATTCATATCCACCGCCCGCTGGGGCACCAGGACGTCGGTCCCCAGGCGGTGGATATGGATAAATTCCCACCTCGCATACTGGCCTTGGCGGCACCCGATGTGGCGCCCGACCTTACTCATTGCAAGTTGTGTTGCATAGCCAGCAATGGTGAGCCAGGCAAGGCTCGTAGCCCAACCAGCCCCCAGTGGGGCAGTGCGGTCAGCATTGCGACCACACATATCTGGCAGCAGGCTGATCAACCTACGCTCTTACCGAACGGGATCGCAGGCGGCTCGTGAGAGAAGCCGCCCACTTCCCGCACGCGCGTCTCCCTCAAGTGTCAGAAGGAAGCGAAGAAAGCTGCGCCAGACGAGGCCCCTAAGGTATTGCTGCATGATCGGTGATGGCTTTGCGCAGCCTGTCCAGAGCTTGGGCGGAGGAGCCCGAAGCTGGCTGCACCGCTGCCGACTCGCCCCCGAACAATTAGAGTCACGCGCGTACGCGATCGCACGCCTCTCTCCTCCCTCCGCATACCCTCCTTCCCCTCCCCCTTCTAGAAGGAGGTGTGAAGTTTCGATCGGTGGGCAGGCCCTCGCGTTCTCTCAGTGCCTTCCCATGCTTACTGCATATCATAGGCAAGGGTAGTCTTGCAGTCATACGGTAAGACTCGCACGCGAGTGTGTGTGTGTGTTTGTGGGAGAGGGGTTCAGCCCCGACTCGAGAATTCCGCACGGTCCTCCGAAAGTGTTGCTTGTGCAGCTTACTGTGATGTGTCCAAGGTTGCCCCAGGAAGAGTCGTGCGTCCTCTCGGATGTCCTCTGCACTAGCCGTTCGAAGGTCTCCAGAGGCCTCCGGATGTCCTGTGTACTTGATGTTCGCGCCGCGTCGACGCGGCGGCGACGCAGGCGTGGGCGTTTGAGGACTAACGCCACCAGTGGCCCAGACTCGGCCCATACCGAACGATTTCCTCGCAGTTGAGAAGCTGCAGCCGGCCAACGCTGAAGCAGATCTACGCGGTGTCAGAGACCAGCGCCGACGTCATCGTGTCGTGAACCCGCTTTACCTCCTCCTCCTCCTCCTCCTCCTCCTCCTCCTCCTCCTCTTCCTGCCTCCTCCGTACCTCTTCCTCCCTCCTCCCTCTTCTCCCTCCTGTCCCTCCCTCCTTCCTCCCCTCCTGCCCCCCTAGCCCCGCCCTCTCCTCCCCTCCCTCCCCTCCCTCCCCCTCCCCTCCCCTCCCTCCCTCCCTCCCTCCCCCCTCCTCGCCGCTGCCATCGCGACGCCCGCGCCCGCCGCGTGCCACGCCTCCCCTGCCGCGCAGCCGCCGCGCCGAGCCGCGGCCGCGGCCGCGGCCGCGCCGCCCCTTCTGCCAGCGCGAGGGGGCGGGGCGCGAAGGGGCAATCCCCGTGTGGCGAGGCCACGCGCGGGGCGGTTCTGGCACCAGCGGAGGAGGAGGAGGAGGAGGAGGAGGAGGAGGAGGAGGAGGAGGAGGGAGGAGGAGGAGGAGGAGAGGAGGAGGGGGAGGGAGGGCGGAAGGAGGGCGGAGGAGGAGGGCGGAGGGAGGGCGGAGGGAGGGCGGAGGGAGGACGGAGGGAGGAGGAGGCTGAGGAGGAGGAGGAGGAGGAGGAGGAGGGCGGAAGGAGGGCGGAAGGAAGGCGGAGGGAGGGCGGAGGGAGGGCGAAGGAAGGGCGGAGGGAGGACGGAGGGAGGAGGAGGCTGAGGAGGAGGAGGAGGAGGAGGAGGAGGAGGAGGAGGAGGAGGGCGGAAGGAGGGCGGAAGGAAGGCGCAGGGAGGGCGGAGAGAGGGCGAAGGGAGGGGGGAGGAGGAGGAGGAGGAGGAGGAGGAGGAGGAGGAGGAAGAGGAGGAGGAGGACCAGAGTAAACCCAAGAGTCATCAACGATGTTGGAATTAACCCTTCCTGCTCCCTCGTCAAAGGCCCCTACAACGGTTCATGTACATTGAGGGAACTGCCTCGTTGCAGACAACCGTTTGAAGATTCTGAAGCGTGCCAAAACATGGTTCTCGGGATTTCAACGCCACGTATCAATCTGACTGTTGCGTCTCGACGATCTGGAATCGTCCCATAATGCCATTTTTGGGACTTCAACACCGCGAATCAACATAACTGTTCGCCCGCATAATGCTGAATCTCAGGAGGGACAAACAAACACACAGACACACTGAATCGTCGACTCCCAGGAAAATATGGAAGCATCTGGGAGTTTTGGGGGAAGACAAACACCCAGCAAATATGGGAACATATGGGGAATCCTGTTTATTTGTGTGTCCCAGTTCCCCTTCAGAATCCTTCCATAACGCCAATTCTAGTACGTTGATCATTGGCATCCGTCAAACTTTTGTAACTCGATCCGCCCTCCATCCGTGAAGCTCTTGTAATTTTTGCTAAATGAATGTGCGCGGCGCTAAGGCGAGAGCCACATTTCGAAAACGACCCGTCCTCCATCCGTGAAGCTCTTGCGAGTTCTGTTCAATGAATGTGCGCGGCGCGAAGGCTAGAGCCACATTTCGAAAACGATCCGCCCTCAATCTGTGAATCTCTTGCATATTTGTATGACGAATGTGCGCGGCGCTAAGCCGAGAACTACATTTTGAAAACGACCCGCCCTCAACCCGTGACGCTCTTACACTTTGTTTAAACGAATGTGCGCGGCGCTAAGGCGAGAGCCACATTTCGAACACGACCCGCCCTCATCCTGTGAAGCTCTTGCAATTTGTTTAAACGAATGTGCGCGGCGCTGAAGCGAGAGCCACATTTCGAAAACGACCCGCCCTCAATCCGTGAAGCTCTCGCAAGTTCTGTTAAACGAATGTGCGCGGCCCGAAGGCGCGAGCCACATTTCGAAAACGGCACGCCCTCAATCCGTGAAACTCTTACAATGTTCAATCGAATGTGCGCGCTTCAAGGCGAGAGCCACATTTTGAAAACAACCCGTCCACCATCGGTGAAATTCTTGAGCATTTTCAGAAAGAATGTGCGCGTTGCTAAGACGAGCGCCACATTCTGAGAACGACCCGCCCTCCATCTGTGAAGCTGTTGTCACATCTTAAGCCTCAGAGTCATAAATGGTGGGGAAGTCTCAGACGAAACGCCCTAAAAACTGGTTTGGGGTGCGACAGGGAGATGTGATCTAGAAGGAGGAGGAATGGAGGAGGAGGAGAAGGAGGAGGAGGAAACGGAGGAGGAGGAGGAGGAGGCGGAGGATGATGCGGAGGCGGAGGCGGAGGAGGATGAGGAGGAGGAGGAAAAGGAGGAGGCGGAGGAGGAATAATATTACTACTAATCATACGAAGACTAAGGCGAATACGAATAATAATAATGATAATCATACTGCGAATCAGAAGAATACGAGTCAGACGAATAATAACACGAATGATCATAGTGATACGGATCATACTGGTAATAATGATAAGCATAAGACACATAAACATAGTACTCATAGGAAGAGGAGGAGGAGAAACAGGAGGAAGAGGAATGCTAGAAGGAGGCGGAGGCGGAGGCCGGCCATCTATCTGAGTACACCCACGACGGCTTACATTTGTAACCACAAGGCAACTATGTCTCAGGTTTAATTTGTGAGTACTAGCGTAAAAATCGCAACCCGCACAACACCACAGTTGGAACTGCCTATGCAGGCGTATATGAGGGCTATTGTGTACCGAGCCCCCCGAGATGTAGGCGAGCATAGGAGGGGAGAGCAGATCATCTCCCATCAACAACACTCGGCTGAAAGCACTCGGGCTCCATCCACTCGGCACGTGTGGCAAGCGACGCAGAATTGCAGCACACAAAACATCTCTTCCCTGAGTCATCCACCGCGTGACGAGATGCGAAACGGCGCACTGCAGCAGGACGTGGGCGGGGGAGGAGCAGACCCTCTCTTCCTCGGACCCTCACTGTTCTCCAGCTCGGCTTCGCAATCGAACGTTTCCACCGTCGCCCGAATCAACATGTTACGACCATGGTAAGCTTGCTTCTCCACGGTATGGATACGGAAACGCACATCCTCGGGCACTCGACATCTCGCAGCGGCAACGCCCGCCACGATATCAGCCACGGCGTTGCCCACCACCAGTCGCCAAGGTGCTTGAAACTCTGGGCCGATAGTGTGCCAAAGAACTGCGTGCTCTCCGACGGGGGGAACATATAATCTCGCACTCCAGCCGTCTGCAACCATCGCATTGTCTGTCACGCAGAGTGCCCGTCCACGAGAGCAGCGAACTGCAACGAGAAAGGCGTGCAGCTCACCCCTGGGCACGCTCTGCCATGCCCCTGGGAGCCCTCCCGACACCGTGGCTGCCACCTCCGAGGGCTCGAACGAAGTTAGGTGCACCACTGAAGGCCCAACTCTCCTGAAACGCGGGCCGGCCGAATCGCCCCCTCCACTGGCATCGCCGAGCAAGCGGACTGTCCTCGCCGAACGCGATGGGGTCGATGCAGTCGATGCCAGCCGCCTCACCTGGCACAAACCACTCCTCCTGATCGTTGGCTGATGGGCAGGCTGTCCACGCTGATGAGATCATGACCCTCAAGCAGAAACGCTCCTCACTTTCCCATCTGGACTGTGCTTGGGGAACAAGGTCGGCCGACTGCGCGTATGCAGCAGAGCCCTCGTTCTTCTCGCAGCCCCAACCTCGACGAAACATGTCCTCAGGCTCTTTGAGGCACCTCGGGCAGAGGCGGCTGATGCCTGCCGCTTTGGCGCCCGCTGCGTCCACTCGAGGAGTGCGTGGCCAACAACCACCTCTGGCCACATGTGCAATGCCTCGGCCGTGCGGTGACAAAGTCCCTGGCGT